GCCAGTACACAAAAAAAAAATCATTTCCGGGGCGTTTTTGGAAGGGCAAAACTAGTAACCTCACAGCCGGCGCCACCGTGGCGTGCTCCCACCATCAACTGCTCCCTCAACAGAGGCAGTGCCGCAGCAGCAGCTGCTGCAAAGGGGAACGCCCTTAGTGTTGTAGGCAACACAGTAATTCCACTCGCATTCGGACAAGGCGCAGCTGAGGAGGAAGAAGAAAAAAGGGAGGCATCTCCCATGAGCCAACTACCGCTGCTCCCGCGACAGCAGCGCACAACAACGCGGTATGAGCCTTTTGTTGAACAGAAATCAGGCTCTGTATTCCGCCCGAAGTTGCCCAGTATCACCCGTAGTGATAAGACCTTGCCGCGTACTGCTGTTTCGCTTCAGGGCAAGTATGCGTCATTGCACCGTGCAGCGTTGATGGGGCTGTCGACAGGGTCTGCGGAAAGGGCAACGTTTCAGCGAAGGTCAGTGGAGGCGCTGCAGCGCAGTTTACATTGGCTCATGTACGAAGAGAGGCGGGAGCGTGCCTTAATTGTATCGACCGCATTCGCAACATCACCGGTGCAATGTTACAGTAGTGGGAACGGGGTGAGCTCTCTGTCCCCTTGGCGGTTCGTGCGCGAGCCGCCTATTCTCACCACGGACGCGGAGTTGATGCGAATGTTGAAAAATGCCTTTAGAAGGGTCCTTGAACGCAATACGTCTATAACCGCGGCACCGCAGCATCTTGAGGCGGAGGAAGCTGCCCGTCGTCAGTGCGACATCGTTGAGCCGTGGTATCGTCGCTGCACAACACTGGGGATACTCCAGGAGCTGCTGCAGGGGAAGCTGATGATTTGGAACGAATTTGTGCGGCAGCTTGAGGTGTGGCGGCAGTTGCTTGAGGTTGTTCGAGAAGAGAAGCTGGCCAGGTTGACCGTCCTCGGCCAATATATATCCTGCAGCACCCCGCTACCATGTAAGTATCTTCTTTGGGATATGGAGCTGCTCGAGGCATCAAGGATCCCCTTGGAGCCTGAAGTGAATCTGCTCTGCCTCTTCGTCTCCACCGTGGTTGGGGAAAACGGCTTTCTACAGGACTCCTTGCTTGCCGAGCGAGAGGAGGAATTATCCGTCTTAGGTGGCCAGTACAAACTAAGTTCTTTAGCGTTTGAGGGGATTCAACGCATTCGCAGGGATGAGGCGGAGCGGTTTGAAACTCTCCTGGGGTACAACGCATTTTGCTTGAAGCTCGCGGATGAGAAAAGTGAACACGCCGCAGTCAGGTGGCCTCGCCCACCAGGAGGCAATTTGGTGGGAGGGGTGTCGCATGGCGTGCGGCGTTCTTACCTGCATCATGTGGCGGAACGGCGGGGACATGTTTTTCTTCCTTACTTTACTTACATACGTATTGTGAAGAGCCTTGGGATGGAGCGGGCCACACGCGCGGAAATCACTGCGTACGAGTTTGTGGAGCTTTGTTTCCTCATGTACACATATGAGAGTCTCTGCCGGCGCGTTGTCGCCGCGGAGGAGGAAGTGCTCATGCAGAAGTTGGTAGGCGATGTGGAGGCACAAGAACGGCAGCTTCTCTGGTGGGCCGAAGCTGAGGCGCTGGAGCAAGATATTCAGCCTGACCAGTTTCGCCACCGCTCCCACGCACTGATCCAGAGCCAGCGGGAGGAGCGTGCAAGGCAACTGCAGCGCACACGGCTGCAAGTGACCATCCAGCTGCTCGTGGAGTATGAACGGGCGCGTCGAGGGGAACTCGTGCTGCTTGAGACGGAGCTGCGGACCACGAGTCGGTGTACGTTTTACGCTGTCTGCGGCAGAGGAGGCGACAAATGCGTGGTGCTGCGATGGATGCTTCAGCACCAGCTGCACTTAGTAATACGGGAGGAGGAACGACTACGGTTGCTCATGGTGAATGACGAGGCCGACAGCATCTTTGCTACAGCCACTGCGCACACGTGGCTGATGGAATACGGCGACACAATGTATCAGGCGGCCCGGCGGCAGAAGGTACAACACGCAGGCTGTCACCTCATGGCGGAGCTGCAGCAGATACGGGTGGGTGTAGAGTCACGCTGTCAGTGGGAACGTCAAGTTCTTTTCGAGGAGACACTATGCGTTCCAGTATGTACGACAAGGTCGAGCGTGAGCCCACCGGCTGACAGTGACTGCAGTGAGGCCGTGAACCCTGACTTGGATATTCGACGAGTCGTGGTTTCTGGCCTCTCTGAGTTCCTCCAAGACGAGGTGCTTCTCACCCTTTTCGGTTGCATTGCACCGTAGCCGTTTCTTTTATTAAGGTTCACCGTCACTAGTTGAATCCGAAGATGTTTACATGTCTCTCTTTTTCTTTTTTTATCCTTTGTTCAACGCCCAGTGCACTTGTCGTTTTTTTTTGTGTTTTTCTGCACTGCGTGTAGGTGTGTGTGTTCTGCATGCTTTGCGTTGGTGCTACACACGCATACACGCACACACACGCGCGCGTTTGCTTCCTCGCGTTTCTCTCTTCTTGTCTCTCATTGCCTCCGTCTTGGAGCGCACCACACGTGGCTTGCCGGCGTGCATTCACCCTCTCTGTTTGGGCGCCGCTAGAAGAGGGAGGCGGGGTTTCTTCCACCCGCGGCGGGGGAGAAGCGAGCGAGACGACGCGGCATGAGTTCCTCGACCGCCGGTGCGTCGGCCTCCCCTCCGGCGCTGTACGCCGTCCTTGGCGTGCCGGTTAACGCCAGCCAGGCGGAGTTGTCTCGACAGTTCAAGAGGCTATCGCTGCAGCTGCACCCGGACCGCGCGGCGTATCGCAAGGACGGCGACGCGAGCACCGAGGCGCAGGTGCAGCAGCGCTACCGGCGCATCACGGAGGCATACGAGGTCCTTTCCGACCCGGAGCGTCGCGCGGCGTATGACACGAGACATAGCGTGAACTTCTCCTCGAGAGTCACTGCCTTGCGAGAGGCTCTGGAGCGAAATGAGGTTTCTGTAGGGCCTCTGGCGAAGCGTCCCTGCCCTGAGCTCGCCTCAGGTGCGGAGGGTAAACGAGGCTCAGGAGCATCTTCACATAACAGCAAGAAGAGTGGCGGCGACCTGGAAAAAGGAGGGGAGGAGGAGGAGGAGGAATATGCGCCGGGCTGAGTTCATTCCGCCTGCTTGCTGCATCTGGTATTGCTTCTTTGCGAGGTGTTCCTTTATGTACCTGGGCGTTTCGTCTCTCTGTCTCTAATTTCTTTTTTTTTTAATTTCGCCCTTCTCCTTTTGCTTTCTTTTAATTTGTGCTTTTGCCGCCTCTGTTCTGTGCGTTTCTCAGTGAGAGGCAAAGGTAACTTTCCGTCGACGTGCTTACAGTGCGTCCAAACAAAGACGTGTCAGAGGGAGAGTGGGAGGCAGGGCGGCGTCCATGCTCTCAAGATGCAGGCCAAACTTTAGGCGTCCGTTTATGGGATTGTCTTTCACAGTAAGCGAGTGCATCAGCGGCAACAAGATGGAGCCGTGGGCGACGCTTAGCATGACCCGGCGCTCCTCACGTGATCCTTGGGAGCTTGGCGTGCATCAACGAAAGACCTCCGTCTACCTCAACCCGCTGCCGGACGAGGCTGTGGCGGGGTCGGTGGTGGCAAAGCAATTTCTCGCCAGTTCTGCCTTTCCTTACGTGAACGCCATACGCGTTGTGTCGGTGAACGGCGTTCCTGCCGCTTCCGCTTCGAAGGTGCGGCATGAGTTGAGCCGATGCAACACCGCGGTGCTGCATCTCACCCTCCACGCCTCACGCTATCGCCTGGCAGAAAAAAAACGCCGGGAGTCACTTGCCGCGGACGCTTACTCCGCGTCGTTGGAAGCCGCGGAAGCGGAGACGCCTATACACGGGTCGAATGTGCAAAAGAAAGTTGCTCCTGCCGTTGTGACTGACGCCCGTAGACGGAGGACGGTCCCTGCACTGGCAAAGGAAGTCGCGGCTGGTAATCCGTCACCCGCGCAAGGCGCGAGGGCGGCATCCACTCCGACGCCCTCCCCCAGGCAGGCCACACGTGCCAGGCCTCGCGGAAGCAAAAAGCGGATGCCAGGCAAGGTGCGCGAGGCGCCCAGCAACACCAGGGTTTCTCCTACTGCCGCTGCGGTCCATGCGGAAATGGCCCCAAAGCGAGTGACGCCCGAAGCAATCGACCCTGCGAAAGTCGCCACAGTTTCGCTTTGAGGTGTAAGGAGATAAATACTGTCCAAGTAGGATAGAGCTGTACTGATTCTATTGTGTACCGATTGTGTGTGTTTTTTTTCTTCTTCCTAACTTCTTCTACTGGAATTGGGCCCTGCTCTTCATACATGTTCGACGGGCGAGGGCGTGTAGGAGGAGGAGGGTCCGTTCTGAGCAGATGTGTTTCCGTGTGGCGGTGTGTGCGCACCTGACTGGGATCCACGCAGCGCGTGGCAAGTGCAACGGTGCACCATTGTACTCCCTTGTTTCGTGTCCCGTTTCACGCCTCCTGCAAAGTAGAACGTTTCTGAGAAAGGGATTATTACGACCTTTTTGTTTTGGTTTTGGTTTTTTGGTCCTCCCTCGCGATGTGGTGGCTTGGCTAACGGCACAGCGGGTTCCAAGCGTGGCGATGGCGCAGATGTGCTCTCAGTGGGAAACACGCCGGTGCGCCTTCCCCTTCCTTTTTTTTCCCCCCGTATTTGCCTCTCTGTGCGTCTCTCCCCGCTTCTCGCAGACTCACTTTACTTCAAACCAGCTATATGCATGTATATGTATATATACATACAGCTATCAAAATAAATAAATAATTTTCTGTCGGCAAGCCTCTCGCTGATACTAAGCGAAGCAGGAAAAATAAACTCAGGGGCGGCAAGGGTGGCGAAAGGCAAGTTTTTTTTTGTCTTTTTTATTTTTCCTATTTTCCTTTTTTTTCTAGTAAAATCCAGAAAAAGCTTTTCGGCATGGCATTTCGTGCAGTGATAACCGACCTTGACGGAACACTTTTCAACGAGTTCCACGAAGTGTCCGAGTACACTGCTGAGACGCTGCGGCTACTGCGGAAGAAAGGCATCCCCATCGTCTTTGCCACCGGCCGGCCGCATCCAGATGTGTTCCACACCGTTGACAACTGCGGCTTGGAGGGCGGCTACCTGATCACCAGCAACGGGGCGAGGGTGTTCGACCCGCAGCGACGCGTCATTGCCTCGCACGATTTGGAGCCTGACGTCGTTGCAGAGCTTCTTGCCATTAAACTCGACGATGAAGATGCGGCAGCATTCGCAGGCGAAAAACAGCCGTTGTTTACGGCCAACATGTATCAGCATGAAGCGTGGGTGACAAATCATGGATTGGAGCGAATGCTCACGGCATACCCGCGGTCCGGGTTCCGGTACGAGGAAGTCGATCTAACAACGCATCCACGTGATGGTGTGCATGCTGTGTTTTACGTGGGGAAGGAAGAAGTGTTGGTGCGTCTGGAGAAGGTGCTGAAAAGGGAATTCGAGGGACGAGTGGAACACAACCTGTCAGTACGCACTGTGCTTGATGCTGTGCGACCTGGAGTCAACAAGGGAAAGGCGCTGTGTGAAGTGGCCCAGCTGCTGGGGCTCAGCGAAAAGGATTTCATTGCCTTTGGCGATGGAATGAACGACCGCAAGATGCTGCAACTGGCCGGGAAAGGTTGCATCATGGATAACGCGCAGGCACGGCTGAAGGAAGCGTTGCCGCAGCTGGAAGTGATTGGCCGCAACACGGAAGACGCTGTCGCAAAAAAGCTTCGCGAAGTTTTTGACCTGTGAACCCAACTCGCTTCTTCTTTGCTGGTTAGATGTTGATGGGGCTAGACTTATAATGTGTCCTTGTCTGATTATTATATTGTTTTTGTTTTTGCGTATGATTCCGCTGCTTGTTACTTATTTGTGTGGGTGCGTGTGTGTGTGTTCATGGCTCCGGATGTGTACGGGGTTCCGTAGAGGGTGTGGGTTCTTGTCGTAACTTTCTCTTCCTCTCTCTTTTTTTTCTGTCGCGTCTGTCCCTGCTGTGTGGTTGGGCTGGCTGCCGTGCACACAGCAGAGGTGAAGGCACGCGTGATAGAAAAGGAGGAGGGGTGGAGGAGAGAGGCTGCGCCGTCCCGTGAGCGACGCGGAAGCAGGCAAGAAAGACAGAGCCCCTATAGGTATTGGACTGCACGACCGCGGCCGTAATACAAGGGCAACAGAGGACAGCTTCCAGAGAAGAAGGACGGAGCAGGCATAACTCCGGACAGTGTGTGCAGGGTAGGGGAGGAAGGAGTATTGGTGGGGAAGAAAAGGAAAGAAAAGAGGAAGCCTTAACCCACGACAGATCCACGACAAAAATAACAAGCGAGACAGATAGACAGTGAGAAAGATAAAGAGAGAAGGAGAGATGTCAGGAGGCAAGTCCCCTCTTTTTGGTTCTTCAAGGAGGCTTCGGCTCTTTCGAAAGCCCACTGGCGAGGAGGAATGGGCCTACTCGCACAACCCATACGAATACTCGGCCAGCAATACTGACTGGATTCAGCAACGGACTCTCAACCCATGCAGGCACTACGCTGAGGGCCGCTGCAATCGTGGCAGTTCATGTCGCTTTTTCCATGAGCTGCGGCACACTGTTATTGTCACCCCGCACACCACCCCGAAGCAGCCTACCTTCACCCCTCTGACTGGAACAACTCCCTTGTCTGCGGGAGCTCTCGCGCTCGGTGGGAAGTCTCCTCCGGCGTCGGTGGGGTCAATAAACGGGCGCCAGTCCCACGCATCATCGGCTGTGGAGCCTTCCGCCAGCGCGGGGCCAACGGAAGCCTCAGCACGGCAGCCTTCGTCAGGTAGCGCGGGGGACAGTGGATACCACATCAAAGGCACGTTGCCACTGTCCAACTCCAATCTGGACACCCCACAACTTCACGCGACCCTCAGTACGGACAGTCTTGTGGTTTCCCCGCTTCAAAAGGGTGACACCAATCTACAGGGGTCCTTTCCCCCCGTAACCCTCCAAACTGTATCACAGCAGCGATAAGACAAACCTTTGTTTTTTTTTTATTTTGTTTTTTTTTCTTCTCCCATTTGTTCTTCATGAGGAAACCCTGGGGTTGCCTCCTTGGCTTGTTGCTTTTTTTTTTCGTGATTTTTTTTTTTCTTCTTCTTCCTTCAGTCTTCCCTTGTACCTCTACCTCTGTTTTTGCGCGTCTTTGGGTGAGATGCCTTCCTTCTAACCTCCTAGCGGGTGAAGGACGGAAAAAGAAAGAGTATGTATATATATATAAGGTGAATATGTGGTGTGGTGGAAGAATGAACCGCTGGGTGTAGACAGAAAGGGAAAGGCGACGCTCATAAGTAAAACAAAAAAAACATAATAAAAAGAAATAATAAACGGGCCCGTGAGGGTGGAAGGCAAGTAACCGCGAGAGCGAGAGAGAGAGAGCCGTTTGAGTTCGACGGCACCATTGGAAATGGTGGTGGTGATGGTGCTTTATTTTTCACTTTTTGATTCTGCTTCATCGTTCTCTCTCTCTCGCATCCAATGGCTCTTTGCAGGATATGAACACTGTTGGTGTTGTGCCTGTTTTTGGCGTCTCGCCCTATTTATTCTTTTGACTGCTGTTTCTGCATTCCCCCTCATTTACTCTCCCCTCATACGTTACCTCCCCCCTTTCTGAGCTTGTTGTTTGCGGCGTCTTCCATTCGGTATTTTTTTCCTTTTATCGTGCTTCTCCTTCGTGAGCGGCCGTCTTCGTTTCTTCCGCTTTATTCCTTCCGCGGACACGCGGCTTCGCCTCCTCCGTTCACCACAGAAGGAGCTGCGGGGCCAGCCTACCCAGAGGAGCATCCGCGGCAAACACCTGCTCCCTACTTTTTTTTGATTGTGTTTTTTTTTCTCCCCCCTTTTTTTATCTGCGTGCGTGTGTTTTTTCCTTTTAATTTTTTTGTTGTTGTTGTTCTTGGGTCGTCCCTCAAATTTTCTCCGTTGCTCCACCCCCAATGTTGTCACGCACGACTGCAAGTAAGTGGCCTCCGTGTAACTTTTCATCGTAGGCGAGAACAAAAAAAAAGAAACAAATGATGAAAAATAAAAATAAAAAGGAGACTCACCGAAGTTGACTGAAGAAAAACTCAAAAATAGCTTAAGAGGAGTGTGGGAGTTTAACAACAACGGCAGAGAGAGAGAGAGAAAATAACTTAAAGCAGCGAAGCAAACCGGAAGAAAAGAAAAGAAAAAGAAACAGGGTAAAGTGCAGCGTTTGGTGCATGCGCGTTGTACGCCGGTGGAGCCGTATATTCTCATAGGCGTGGTTGTGTTTCGCTGCCAGTCCCACTTGTGGGAGGTTTGCATCTATCTGGGATGGGAAAACAGAAACGTGCGCGTCACGCGGATGGTGGGGATCCATGGGAGGGTAGAGAGGGGAGACGTCGCGCTATGGCGTGTGCGCCGTGTGCCACTTTTTTCACCCTGTATTGTAGTCTTTGCGCTTCTCAGAAGCACTTCAAGGGGCGTCGTGCAGGCGAAGCAAGGAAAAAGAGTGTAGCACGCGTGGGGCGACGACTAGTAGTTTCTACCTGCTGCTTGGCCCGGCAGGGGTGGGCGGGCGGGAGCGCAGTAGCACTCACAGTCGCGTTTCTGCCGCACGCTGGCGATTCCCTACGGCGTACGGGCAAAGCGCGTCTGCAAGGGGGAAGGGAAAGAGTGTTGGGTGAATCGGAAATGGACCTGGCGGCGGGCGCCAAGGGCGAGGAGGTGCGAGCGGAGAGCGACAGACCGTGTAGCAGATACACTGCGGTCACTAACGTCCTTCCAGCGCCTCAACTGGCGGCGGAGTTTCAGCTCCAGTTTGACAACCACAAGGCTGGGTTGGAGCAGGCCGACGCGAAGAAGACGGCGGCCATTATACAAGAGGCATCTAAAGGCTCCAGCTATTACATCAACGAGCGCCGCAAGGCTGAGCTCCGCCAGAAACACGTGCTGCAACTTCGCCAAAAATCTGCACAATTTGCGCAATGCATGAGTGGAGAAAGAAATGTGGCGCGTAGAAGGCAGTGGGAGAGTAAGGTTAGCCAAATCGAAGAAGAGCTGGAGGCAGAGCGCCAGTTCCGCAATTATGTGCACGTGGACATGGATATGTTTTATGCCGCCGTGGAGATGAAGAAGGATCCCTCGCTTGTGGATCTCCCGTTGGGTGTGGGGAGCTTCGAAATGTTGTCCACAACCAACTACGTGGCGCGGCGGTACGGCGTGCGCTCCGGGATGCCGGGGTACATTGGCAGGAAGCTGTGCCCGTCGCTCGTTATCGTGCCAACAGACTTTGATGCGTACCACGCGGAGAGCGCCGTGGTGCGGGGCATTGCGGCCGACTACGACCCCAACTTCACCAGCGTGGGCCTTGACGAGCTGACGATGGAGGTGACGGCGTACCTGCGGGCCCACCCTGGCATGACTGCGGCGGATGTTGCGTCCGAGTTCCGCGCGCGCGTGTTCGCGGAGACGCGGCTGACTGCCAGTGCGGGGATA